AAATATAATATAATATAAATAATAAAATAATAATAATAAAATTAATACATTTTTGAATAAAAATTCCATCCAGATAATTCAATCTTCGCTACACTCGCAATGTTTTATAATAAAACAGTGAATATCGACGTTGGGATTTACATTGATATTTATATCAACCGGAACAAAAAAGAGTACATGATTACAAATATGGATTTGACATGAAAAATATTTAAAAAATGGGGAAAAAACATTTTTTTCTTTATTTGTGGATACATTCCAGATTAGCCTCTCCTAAAAACAATCCAAATATTCCTGAATTGAAAAAATAGAAGATTAATTGAGAAGGTACACAGTCTGAGAGTCGGAACGAGTAAGAACTGTTGAAACTGGAAATTCAAATTTCTCCATTAAATGGCATCCTTGAACGGTCCTTGAGTTATGCGGAATATTGTTCAGACGCTGTAATTCAACTACTCCGTAAGAACTCTGTCTTTATTTAAACGAAAGTCTGTTTCTTCGCCCCGAATTCCGAAACAATCATGGAAATTCATACAAGTCTAATGATATGGAATGAAACCATATATCTTCATGCACCACAAAAAAATATCAACTTGAATCTAGTGCAATCCACTCTCAATCTGATTCTCGCATCCAGAAGGAATAAAACGAATACGATAAAACATTTATTTATTGCCCGTGAGTTGAAATAAATTCCAACAAATATACTAGAATTGATAGTCCAGTAGTGAAAAATCAATTGATACGCGATATTTGATTTGACTAAATACATGTGAATTCGTACAAATGCAACAGAGTGTGTTATTATTCGTAATGAATCTCACCAGCTCGTTTGTCATTCTGTTGATATTCCGGTTGGGTGATGGCGAAAAATGATGACGGTGAAAAATTTGACGTTTAAAATGAAAAAATCTGGGAAAACATGAGTTTTTAAAAAATTTAACAGGGCGAGTTTTAAATTCGGCATGGTCGAATAGCCAACGAAAAAGTTTTCAGCTCCCGAGGGACGTGAAAATATAAAATGAAAGAAGAGGATTGTCCTGAGGGTGGTGGGAGGAATTTAGGGGAAGGGGGTGGTCCACAAGCTGTTACCCCAGACGCTGCAATAATACCATTTTCACGAACGAACGGATTCGAACTTTAATTAATCGGATTCCCTCAGACGAAGGCCCAGGTTTGATCGGTAAATTAGTAAGATTACTTCACCGCAGCATTTCCATTCTCTTCACGTTCAACATCTAACTTTGGAGTAGAATTTAAAATGGTATTCAACAGTGGAATAAATAATATACGATGCAATGGCTGTAAATAGACATGATATTTTTAGGGAATACTCCCTCGAGAAATTTCACGTAAATTCGAAGAACAATTAAAACCAGAGGGTAATTAAGGCGTTAAAGACTTGCAAGTTAACTAGCCGAATTATACGCATCTGGATGAACAAAACATTAACTCCAGTAACATAATAAAGTCGTCGTTAGCAGACGAATGGAATTGGAGATCAGATTACGTGAGGTGAAACATTTCATAATTAGCACATCAAACAATTGAGTTCTATATTCGGTAATCACACCCTGAAATTAAATTGAATTCCACATTATTCCCGTGTAGAACAGTATTGTCCTTAGTTCTGAATAACATTTATTCTACAAGAAAG